GTGTGTGTGTGTGTGTGTGTGTGTGTGTGTGTGTGTGTGTGTGTGTGTGTGTGTGTGTAGCTGCTGGGAACGCATTCTGTCAGGCCGCTCGGCTCCACATGCAGCTTCAGAACAAACTGGATTCTGCCACCAGCTTCGTCGATGCAGGAAACGCCTACAAGAAGGCCGACCCACAGGGTGAGTGCTTCTGTCACACAGACACACACATCTGGCTGAGTGACCACTACAAACTTACATTTAGGCCGTGCATTATGTCTCCTTTTAGTGTTGTACCACAGATTTACACATTTGCCTAATAACAGGACGATGGTTGGTTGCTGAGAGGAGACACAGGTCTGTTTGGGGCTGTGTCAGAAAGGTCTGCTGACATAAAACATGACTTTTGTTATGTAAGAACAACATTGTGGTGCACCGATGTTTGGCTAGAAGCTGCTTGGTTGATACGCAGATAATTGCCTTGATTTTAATCAGACCAAACTCACTCCTCTGAGATGAGCCGAGTGAGATCCAATTTTAAAAGGTGCTGTTGACGTTCAGGAGATAAAACCATCCATTTATGTCAGCCCGGAGATAAAATCAGTGTGTTGTTGTTTTTTTTGTTCAAGGACTCTTATCATTTACCTCCTGATCTGGCTTAATTCAGATTTCTGTACTTCAAACCTGTCGCTTTAACAAGTGGTGAAGGGAGGAGCAACAGAAAAGGCACTAGGATTAAACTGACCATCTAAACTGTCCCCCTCTAGCCACAGTTATACCCAAATTTGTCAATTTTCTTGGATTTCTTCACCCTTTATTCACAAAGTGCAACATAAGTAAAATGTTTAATGAGAAGTATCCAAATGTGCCTCAAGATGCTTTATGTTTGTGAGGTAAAGACCCTACAGTAATACAGAGAAAACCCTAACAATCACATGACCCCCTATGAGCAAACACTTGGTGACAGTGGGGAGGAAAAACTCCCTTTTAGATGGAAGAAAGTTCCAGTAGAAGCAGGCTTAGGCAGACGGGACTGAATATGGGTGTGTCAGAACTTTAATCTACGTTCATTATGCTGATTTTCTTAAGCTGGTTGTAGAATATGTGGTAATCAGTCTTCGTAGCGTTTGTGCTGGAAACCAACATTTGATTAGATTAGAAAAGCATTATATGAATGCCGGTGCTCTGTTTTTGTGGCCAATACAGAAAAAACTTTCCACATCCCGTCAGAGGAGTGAGTTTGGAGTTTTAGAGAAGGTTGAAAGTGCATCATTGTAATGGAAAGACATTACAGTGACATTACGACAAGATATGCTTGTTTTTATAATCAGTGGATAAGCCATAATGGTAATTAGATTAAAATTGGATTAGCTGAGCTGCCCTAACTGTTTACTGTCCTTCTTTATCCATTTTTCTTAATTGTTCTTGTTTGTGGGTTTACACGTTTAAAGCTTCTCTAAACATTGGGCAGCAAATTCTGCTGTTTAAACATAGCACAGGGTCCATTTAAAACAGCCTTGCTCCATAAAAACATTCATTCAACACTTTTTAAAGTAGTAAAAAGAAGATTTTAAAGAGTTTAAAGAAACAGGAAAAACAGGAGCCTGTGAACACTGTAGCTGAAAGGGCTCTACAATGGAGCTCAATGAGGCAGGATGCATAAAATGTCTTGACAAATTAACCAAAAGAATAGTGTTTGCTGTGTTTAGGTAAAGAAAAATACATGTAAAAACTGGTTAAACAGTTACTATTTGACAGCACTGGTTCATTTCTTTGCCTCTATGTAAGATGTTCAAAGCAGGAAAATCCTGTTTCTGGTGGTTGCTGCTTCCCATTCCCCCCAAAATGCAGTAACAGTTTTAGCAAATTGCAACAGTTTTAACTGAGATATTAAAGAGGTTAAAGCTGACTCCACAGATGTGCTAAATGAATGTGCTGTGTTTACACTTCCTCAGTTTCCTCAGAACAACTACAAAAAAGTGTAAAGCTACACGGTGAAAGGGGAAGCCTCTGCATCACTGCATTTCTCCGACAGGTTCGGGCCCAGGGGTGGGATTGTTGGAAGATTAAAATGGGTCCCTGGTTTGCTCTAGGAAAATTAATATCTGGGTTGTGTTGTGACAGACTTCCTGCTTCCTGGTGATGAGCTTAATAAAATACAGCGGGTTATCAGGTTAACAGTCACATAGGGAGGAAACTGAAATTGGAGATTATTAATTTGACTTCGGGGCTTCAGCACACTTTCCATTTTCTTTGTACGGTATTTATAAAAGCCCTCCTTACCCTCTCATCTGTCTCTTTCCAGAGGCTATCAACTGTTTAAATCAGGCCATTGACATCTACACTGACATGGTAAGACCTCTGCCAGCCATTAAATCTCACTCTCTGACAATGATCTCAGTCTTTCCTTTGATCAATGTCCTGTACTGCCTCTTCTATGTGTGTGTGTGTGCTGACTACAGGGTCGGTTTACCATTGCAGCCAAACATCACATCACTATAGCAGAGATTTATGAGTCAGAGCTGGTGGACATTGAGAAGGTAAAGTGGGGAGTAAAAGGACTTCCTCCCTTTCTTTGGGATGAAAAGATTTTGGATCTATGTGCGACGCTCTGAATGTCCTCGTCTGTGTGTGTGTTTTCAGGCCATTGCCCACTACGAGCAGGCAGCAGACTACTACAAGGGAGAAGAATCTAACAGGTAAATGAGCTGTTTAGCTAAAAGCTAAATAACTATATAGTACATACATAATGCTAAAACCGACATTTATTTATAGAGTCAGGTTTGTTTATTATTTTTGCAATCAAGCAGTGGGGCAATTTAAAAAACAGATATAAGAGCAAAACATTTACGATTATTGGATGTTGCTGAGCTGTGACTCAGCATTGAAAATGGCCACTAGAGATTTGTCTCACATCTTTCAATCTTAGACACATTTTTCATGAACTCAAGTCAATTTTAAACATATTTGAGAAACTAAACAATGCACAAAATATTTTTTTTGTTTTAAGTAAAATCAAGATGTGATTTAAAGCTGATGTGATCACAGTAAATGATCGAGGGAGTACACAGAAACAGCAGAAAGTCTCTGTGTGGGATTACACAAATCTTCTGACTTGGTAGATCACAATTACTGGAATTTTTGACATAATAATGGGTTAAAAGCAACACATTACCATTTGCAGGTTGATAAATTAGAATATTAATTTAAAAAAAACAGTTCTATCCATCCATCCATCCATCTTCATCCGCTTTATCCGGGGCCGGGTCGCGGGGGCAGCAGCCTAAGCAAAGAGGCCCAGACCTCCCTCTCCCCAGCCACCTCCTCCAACACCAAGGCGTTCCCAGGCCAGCCGAGAGATATAATCTCTCCAGCGTGTCCTGGGTCTGCCCCGGGGCATGCCTGAAACACCTCACCCAGGAGGCGCCCAGGGGACATCCTTGTCAGATGCCCGAACCACCTCAGCTGGCTCCTTTCGATGTGGAGCAGCAGCTGCTCTACTCTGAGCCCCTCCCGGATGGCCGAACTTCTCACCCTATCTCTAAGGGAGAGGCCAGCCACCCTTCGGAGGAAGCTCATTTCTGCCGCTTGTATCCGCGATCTCGTTCTTTCGGTCACTACCCACAGCTCGTGGCCATAGGTGAGGGTAGGGACGTAGATCGACCGGTAAATTGAGAGCTTCGCTTTTACACTCAGCTCTCTCTTCACCACGACGAACCGGTGCAGCGTCCGCATTACTGCAGCTGCAGCCCCAATCTGTCTGTCAATCTCCGGCTCCCTTCTCCCATCACTCGAAAAAACAGTTCTAATAAACAATTATTTCTATTACTAAAAGTTACTGAGGCTCAGGCGCAGACCAGGAATCCTTTGCAAAGCAGTGATTTTATTTACAGTAAACACCAACTGCAAATATGTACAACTTGCAGGGGTTGGGGGGGCGCGGGGACCAGGGCTCCAGGGTCCGTGGGAAAGGGAGAGATCCACACACACGCCACACTCTTCGGAATTCCACTCCACTCTCTTCTGTAGGCACTCGCGCTTCTAAGCACTTTGCCACTCAAACGCTCTCAGGTCCCTTGGGTTTACAGGGACGGGTCCAGGAAGATCTAGTCACACAAAGGACTCGGTTAGAAACAGACTAAGATAAATACACAGGTTCGGATCAGAAATTGCCAGCCAGACTAACATAGAATACTCAATGATCCAGTGACAAGTAGCACAGAACCGCCATCTTAAATAGTGCTCAGGATTGCAGGAGATGAGCAGCAGGTGTTGTGATTGGAGACAGGTGCGTGGGCCAGAGGCAGGAGCCTGTGATGAGCTCTGCCCAGACAGAGGAGAGAGAGCGAAAGACAGAGCGCATAAAACAACAAAAAAACATGTTGCCTAACACAGAGCCAGCCAGGGAGACACGGGGACCATGACAGTTTCTGTCTTCTCTACTCCTGTTTGTTGTCTCCTGGAGGTGCTCTCTCTTAAACTAACTGTGGATGTTAATGCTATCTTTATACATTTTTTTGCAGACCTATTGTGTTCAACTACTACATTTACCCCATATTCATCAGCATACTTATGAAACTAGTATATCATTTTGTGAAAACTTGGAAGGAACCAACCAGACTATGATTACAGACAACTGAACAAAGGACAAAGGAAAACATAAGAGTTTACACAGAGGGTTAATCCGGAAGTGGGGTTGCTGATTTTATTGCTTATTTGGTATTTTTGTGTTATGGACTCTTATTTCTTTTGATTTGGGGAAAGTTGTGTTTCTTGGAGTTTGATGGATCACTCTTTAGTCTGATTAGTGAGAAAAAACTGAGAACCTGATCTGTAATTAAAATATAAGCAGTGGTTATAGCCCTTGTAGGGGAAACTGTATAACTATACATGTATAAATGTGACTGTGATATTGTTGACACTGGTGGAGTGTTTCATGATAAAGCTGCCACTCGTACAACATGATGAAGTGGTCATTGAGTGATGCTCACTCAGCCAAGCCTGATGGTCTTTACAGCTGGATAATACGCTTTGTATACAGTCTGTGGGTAAAAAACTGTCAGTCATCTGTAGGAAGATTCAGTATGAAAGAAACAGCAGATGTTAAAGTAAAATTTCTTGTTTGTGTCTTTTCAGCTCAGCTAACAAATGTCTTCTGAAGGTCGGACACTACAGCGCTCAGCTGGAACAGTACCAGAAAGCGATTGAAATCTATGAGCAGGTAACAACTGATTGTTATACCCATTTTACTTTTATAAATGCAATAATGTTAAGTTGTTATTGTATTTGAATAGAACCCTTTTTTATAATGTTTCATCCCATTTCAAAATTTATTGGTTTATAAGTGACCAAAAATGTATCAAGTTAAAGAGAGGGTTTTAAAAACTGGTCGTTTATGACATTTGCCCACTTTGGTTAATGTTTGTGCCTCCATGTGTGTTTTAGGTTGCAATGAGCACCATGGACAATCCCCTACTCAAGTACAACGCAAAAGAGTATTTCTTTAAGGCATCGCTCTGTCATTTCATTGTGGATGAGCTCAATGCCAAGGTAACACAACAAACAACAACTATAGCCAGCCACTGAGTCCGCACAGACACATTCACTGAATCTGATGTATTTGTGGGTCGGGTTTCATGCTTAATTGTTCATTGCAGAAATCAGTTTACACGTACCGTTAACACTAACGCCTGTGTGTTTCAGTTGGCCATCGAGAAGTATGAAGAGATGTTTCCAGCCTTCTCAGACTCCAGAGAGCTCAAACTGTTAAAGGTAAATTACCTTTTCTTGTTTTTTTCAACGTAACTTTCTAAGTTTGCATAAATATTTTATTAAAGGTTTTAACGGTTTATAAAATCTGTTACGCTGAAACAATAATTTTATGAAAAATAATATAAACACTCTTTACAACAAGCAGGCAGTGATTTATGAAAGAAATTCCTGGAAA